TATCGTTTAAGACATATTGCATGGCCTTGAACTTGAAGAAGAAGGAAAAAATTTCTTATATAAAGTAATTTTTATTTCACAATCTTATTTTTCTGTTAATTTATCTCAACATAGTTTTAGAAACTAGAATAATTTAATGGAATATAAAGTCGGTTAATAAAAATAAATGCTATATAATTCTTTGAGAAATAAATAAATGAATATATGACAGCGTTATAAAAACTGCTAAAGTGAAAATAAACCGATATTTTCCCATTGATTATTTCGCGTACCTTTATTATTATTGAATCGAATGTAACAATTTTGGACAGTAAAATAAGATTATTATATTTTCTTGTGATAAAGAAATGTATACAAAATAAAACCGTGTTGTTCCCAGATATGTCATAGTTTAAGGAAGGGTTATAAACTTAATGTAATCGGTTTATAACACCCTGTACGTGTCAGGCACTTTAATTTAAGGTTGTTTTTCGCAATCAGAACTAATTATCACACCATTTGATTGACACTTTTTTCAAAGACCAAAGACAGGTTTTTGCGGATTTTTCATGCTTGTGAAACTCTAACCACGGGAACCCTGGACCGCCTTGCATTCACATGGCTACTTTTTCTAAAGACCGAATTCGTAACAAGGGCACATAAAGGTGAAAGTGTTGGTAAATAGACAAATTTAAGGGACTCGTGGTCAATTTAATCGCCATTGGGGTATTCAAATTTCGCTCTTGTTAATATTTGGATGTCATTGTAATTGCGTTAAATTCCGCGGGTTTATCCCGAGGTCGCATCTAAGACTCCCGCTGATTGGTCCGTTCATGTGAAGTCTGGCAGAAAATTGTACAAGATCACTTCCGGTTGAACGAAAATCGAGATTCGTGATTATCAGAACACTAGCGTTCATATAAAAGGCTTCATTTACCAATTTATTGCATAATATGAAAAGTCTCGGAGTAAATTGTTACTTGAGAAATACCATGATATTCTACGCTTAACTTTTCGAATTCGTGAAAAGTAATTTTATTTCGAGGGGCGAACAAAAGACAAATAAAAAAATCAAATTCTTTGACCCTTTGAAATAATTTATTATGTTTGTTTATGTAATGGTTTGAAATAAATACTGGTGAAAAATTCTAAAAATTAAACATTTTACAGCTTGCTACTTTTTTCAGTTAATGCTAGTATAATTCACCGAATGGACATTTGTTAATTTTTTCTATCATTTGTACTTTATTTATTTATTTATTTATTTATTTATTTATTTATTTATTTATTTATTTATTTATTTATTTATTTATTTATTTATTTATTTATTTATTTATTTATTTATTTATTTATTCACATTCATTCATTCATTCATTCACATTCACATTCACATTCACATTCACATTCACATTCACATTCACATTCATTCATTCATTCATTCATTCATTCATTCTTTCATTCATTCATTTTTGGTAGGGTGGGGGTCGAGTGGGAGACGGTTCGTTTCTAAGTATATTTCAATATTTCAGTATACATCAATACATAGATACGAGAATTATTCTTTTTCACCAATCATAAAAGACCACAATATATTAACTTAAACGATACAGTATATATTTGTACATTACATTAAACACGATAGTTTAGAATAGTATAACTGACAAATCTCCTTACCATATCATTATGTATCTACTATCGTTCATTTTACACCCGGACATTTATTGTTAATCATTTCCACATTGGGAGGTTTTCGCACGTTTTTCTCTCAGAACAATCTGGAGATTTTATTACGTCGGCAGTGACCTATGACAAGCAATATCTTCCTCTCATAACAAAGAAATTACTATAACTGATGAGCCAATTTGGCTTGCTAGTAGCCAAGCAAATGTCATGTTTCATCATTTACTTGTAAGATACACATCTTAGTAATGCGAGGCATGTTTGTTTATACATACTGTTTAGTTCATAGACGCAAAAGTGCCTCTTCTTTGCTTGGCTCGGCATAACTTAATAGTATCCTGGGAAAGTGTACAATTATTCTCGCGAAGATTCTCTGTATCTCTTTATATAATGGTGAATTATTCATCAATATGTCGTGAAAAATACAGCATATTTCGTCATTTTCCGTGAATTATAGAATAAATATAAGCAGGAACCCGTATCTTGTTAACCCGTGTTAACTGAATGCTTGGTAAAATAGATTTTAGGCATGAAAAGTAACGATAATTTCCGAAAGTAAATTAGCTTACGGTAGTTTGAATACCTTAATTTCAAATGTACTAAGAACATAATCCGTCTAGATTAATACACTTATTCTTAACAGAATCATGTAACATATAACTATAAATTAAGAAAATAGTCTCTTACAATTCTTTCAGAATGGCCTTTTTCGTATTTTTTTTTACTATTTGTATGAATGAATTTGATGTGTACATGGATGAAACTCAAATACAGTAAACAAATATAATAATAATTTATAAATATAATATATAATAATTAAATTGCATGTGAAAATTATTATCATAGTCATAAATAGATATATTCTGCAACTTTGTCCTATAAACGTATCATTTCTTCTTCGGTTTTATTTAAATAGTAATATTTCTTAACAGAACAAATTTAATTCTAGCATACACATGGTAAAGATATAGTGACAATTACAGAATAGTTATCATTACTTTACAAACTACATCGTTATATAAATTAAAGTAAAAAAATATACGTTTAATTAATTTATGCAATAAAATGTTGTGTAATATTAATTGTAGGTATAATGTTATAATGAATTGGAAAAAAAGATTGTACACTTTATATTTGTTACAATGTGAGACGAAATTATAGTGTAGCCATATAATGAATTCTACAGTTTAATTGTAACTACGTGACAAAGTATTAAACATTTATGCGGTCCTGTTTCATAAGGAAAGATGGAAAATTGTTGATGTCGTATAAATTTACCTAAGATTTCCCAGATTATAAATATACACCGGTGTCTATGTCACAGTTTTACTGTATCAAATTTATATTTCTATAGTTTGAATTACATTAAATCGCATCAGCATTACTAAATTGCGTGATATCTAAACAGAAAACAAAAACTGTTGGATATTTGCTTCTAAAAATGCTATAAAATTCAGTAATTTAATATGTAGATGGTTGGTTAAGCCTTTTTTGTTGAGAAAACAAAGTAAGGTTTTATAGTTTGATCAAATTTTATAGTCAGCCCATGTGCTTTAACGTACATGTACACACTCAATATTGAGGGGAAACTGTTATAAATTGAAATTCAACACAATTTCGCAAAGAATATGTATATATTTTTCTGTTTAATCTGCCAGTTTGCCTGTGTAATGGTCAGATTTGGCAGTTTCAACTGCTGACCTCCTTTTCTTCGGGTTTTGTAATCCCTGGGTTAAAGATAAGGCGTTTCAGATTAAAAAAGATTTCAACAGATTTAGATCTTATGGAACATTATTCCCGAACAATGCCTCTGCAGGAAGCGCGTTTGATTGAACTCCGCTGGATTCCAAACTTTTCGCGATCTTCTTCCAATTAATCGAACAAATTTGGTTGGATTATATCATGGAATTGGCTAGTTTTTCTCATGTTTTACAGCGTGGGGTTTTGTCTGATTATTTAATGCACAAGGTCAAGTGAAAATCCTTTGTAAAGGAAAAGAAATTAGGAAAACGTGTTTATAATATCCATCTAATTTGGGACAGTAAGATCAGAATTGTGGCATAATTAGAGCAATCACTAGAAACTCTCCCCAAGCAATATATATTACTGAATTATTAACACTGTATTGATGAAATAATGGCGTGTTCCGGTACAAGACAAGACAAAATTGTCCCTTCTCACCTTGCCGGAGTCTAGAAGACAATAGGACGTCACATAATTTAAGCTTAATAATTTATTTCCACTTTAAACCATTGCATAACCGCCATATCAATAAGTATGTGGTAGCCAATTTCATCAAATTAGTTGGTAATATTTTCTTATACATAAAACGGCCATAAAACCATATACAGGATTGGTAGCCACGATTTTATTACTAAACAGTCTGTAAAGTTATGTATATTTTAAGCAATTTCCTAACATAGCATGTATATGCGTAAAAAAATCAAAGAGAATAACAAAATGGTTTTATTGTTTGAGTCATACTTGAAAGAAATTGTAATAATAAAATAACAAGTATTTTTTTTTAAAATATCAGATGAGGGTTGGACCGGTTCACACATCAACTTACTGTTTTGCAGTCTTTTTAATATCTTTATGATTGTAAACAAATGAAAACAAAAAGATCTGTAAATGCTGAAATATTACTTACGCCTTTAAAAAATATTAGACAGCTAGATACCTTAATAACCTCCAGAACTGAAGAGCTTAATTTGTTAACTATTTATTGCTATTAAAGTAAATTACTAATACATTACGACATACTAGTATACATATTTTCATTTTCTTTTTAAAAATACTTTAGGCGATTTTTTTGTTTTATTTTATTTGTTTTAATGTCACTACTTTAGTTTATAATTCGCCTTTCATCTCTGGTAGATATCGCTAAAGATAGAGACCTTCTCAATAATTGTGAAAATGTTTTGACTTTTCTTGAATTTATTTTGTCAACTATCAGTCTGAATTAAGTCAATATTTACAAACATCGTTTTCTCTGATATGTCATTGCTGTTAAACACTTAAAATAGTATTTATATATCAAGTAAATCATTCATAAATACACTGTCATTTCATCAGAAGATTAAATCAATAAATTTACCTGAAATCGAATGAATAAACATATTATAATTACTCTCCGCCCACTTTTACCTCAGCGCATGCGCATTAAACTGACTGACAAATGATTATTGCTTTCTATATGATCTTGCGTGTGGTGAATATGTTACGGTAGCTTGGCAAATTTAACATCACTGTGATAAAGATACATCTACGTAAACACACACATGGTTTCAATTTTTAAAATAAACACTGGATTTAAACTTGAGTTTACTATATATTTACAGAGTGTCAGAGTTTTGCGGGCTAAAGTGAAACAGAAATTCTAACCGGAGAAGACGTAATTCTACCTAAGGACAAAGTTACATGTGAATATTTTTCGGATTATTTGTGTTTTGCCGTTCGATTTATATCTGGAGGGAGATAGCGGAGCAATTTGTCATACATTATAAATTATTGTGATCGATTGGTGAAAAGTGGATACAAACTAACATGTAAAGGTAAGGAATGTCATCTTACGCACATAAAACTTGCGTTTATTATGCAGTAACTTTCTTTTCTTTGTAATAAACCACATTAATGGTAGAGAGAGAAAAACCCTTGCTTTAAGAGTTTTTTTTGTACATTTATCATACATTTTCTGATCACAAGACACTAAATTTCCTTATCAAATCTGTCAACATGATCATCAGTGATGTAAACAAATATTTGACAATCACGATAAATGTTCAGTTTTTGACACCTGTAATTAATTTTGAATTACTAATTTATTAAATAACCTGTATACTTTAAAACGACGCTGATGAGTGTCAAAATTGAGGTGTGATACATACATTCACACTCTGGCCTTTTGACTAGTTTAAATCGATCAACGAGCATGTTTAATCACCCAGTCAGATCGCATACAAGCTGCAATATCCATCTTAGTAATATATGTTTTTTTGTCATTTAGGAGAAATTACTCGTCGTTTTGCATGTTTGCTATACGCATCGTTCGACATTAAGTGATCTTGCAGTTCTTGTATCGTGGTGTATCTCCGTGCAAGATCGGCATGATTATAAGACATTTCGTATGTAAACATAGCGTTTAAGAAATTCATTTTTTTCTTCATATTTCTATCTTCAGATTAATAAACCAGCTGGAATAAAGTCAACATCTGTGTCTAATACTGCAGTAATAACAGAACAGTGCATGCACTGTTCGAGAGATATATAAATCATTCTCTTTGGTGTGTATGCGAGACTATACCGCACGAATTTGTTCCACTACCTATGTCGTTCACGCACGAGACTCGGCGTGTTTGATTTAATTCTGATGCACGGGTAATGAAGACGTGCACGGCTTTACTTATGGCTGGTTTAGGATTTACTGTCGGACTTTTGTGCGGTCTTCTTGTTCATTTACCGGCGGAGACGTTGCCGGCGAACAGCTTCGAGGGTCATCATCTCTCAAGACTAAGAAGAGTAGCGCAAGTGGATCCGGGAACTTTAGGGAACATACAAGGAACTGTGGGTGATTATATAAATTCCAATGTGGAGGTTAATTCTGTAGGAACGGCGCACAAACAAGATTTTCAAGAGGATTTAGCGAATAGCGATTATGTCGGATTGAATGGAGAAAATCTGGATCAAAATGGATATAAAGTGATTAAAAATGAAAAATCGACGCATTTCAGTGCATTAAATAAACCTACGAATAGAAATTATGAATCTGTGGTTTATGTAAATCCAGATCAGCAGAAGCTTGTGCTAGATAATAATGTAAATAATGAAACAGATACTAATCAGTTTAAAGAACCATATGCTGCAGAACCAAAGTTATCTAACACTGTCACAATAGATAATAAGCGAATTGATCGAGCGAAAAACCGCATGGCTACAGGTGAAAAAGTAGCCAACGGTCAAAATGACCGGACCAGTGACAAAATTGAAACTGACAATTATCGAAAAGGACTGATATCGAGTGGGAATGACGTAATCAGTGGCGTCTATTGGAGTGATAGCGTTGAACAATCATGTCCGAAAGGATTTTCAAAAGAGGATCACGAAGCCTGGAAGAAAAAGGCTAAAAATGAGAAATTTGTAAAAATGAGCGAAGGTTGTGGTCGAATGCAGAACCGTATCTTAACATTCCAAAATTCTGAAAAAGCTTGTGCTAGGTATAGACTAAATGTTGATCAAATTCAAGGTGAAATTTATTCCTATTATCTCAGTAAATTGCTAGGTGTAAACAATGTAGCACCATCGGTCCTGCAATTAGCAAACACTCGTGAAGACCAGTGGATAAGGGTCGGTCAAGAAGTTGGCACGGCTATGTGGTCTGAAGAGAGACCGGTTATTCTGTCTAAATGGATAGACGGTTTGTCACCTGCATACATTCCGACGGAGTTTAGAAATTTGTCGAACGTTCTCCGCCCGAAAGACGTATCGGTGCAATTTAAATTAAATGGTGATAAATTGTTCAATGAAAATGACGGTAGCTCGTTATGTGAGCTACACCAGTGGTCGGATTTGATAGTATTTGACTATCTGACCGCAAATTTAGATAGAGTAGTTAATAATTTATTTAACTTACAGTGGAACGCACGAATGATGAGCAAGCCAGCTCATAATCTTGAGAAGGGAACCAGTGGCAATCTAGTGTTTTTAGACAATGAGTCGGGACTATTCCATGGTTACCGGCTTTTAGATAAATATAGCACGTATCATAAATCGTTGCTAAATTCTTTATGTGTTTTTAGAAAACAGACTATAGATTCTTTACGACATTTTGTCGCTACTGACAGCATTAGTGACTCGTTACAATCAATTTTTGAGGCGAATGAACCTTTATATAGATATATTCCAAGAGTGCCGGAGAAAAATATCAAAATTTTAAAATCTCGCATGGACGATGTGTTAAGACAGGTTCAAAAATGTGAATCTCAAGGTAGATAGAATAGAACAGAATAGAATAGTGTAGATGATGTAAGTTATACTAAAAGTCTTTCTGGTCAGGTTTTACTTGTTAGTTACGTAAAGATACGTATATAAGATAAAAGGGCCCTTATATATTAAGGCAAACTAGACATATGGAAAAAAGTTTACATAAGACATATGTACGAATGAAGATATTAATTGTCTACGTTTTGAAAGGTGTAGTTTTCGATTTTTTTCCAATAACAATATGGAATTGTTTCAGGTATTATGCTCACCATTGTGCCCGGAATAAAATGGGGGCACGTGTTATCTATTTTTGTTATCAAATAAAAAATATCTATTTTTATAAGCTTATAGCTATATCGACAAACACATTTTTTAAGATACTTGAAAATATTAAATTGGAAAAATGCAACAATTTAATCATTTATGTGTTTTGATGACATTGATTATATAATAATTTATTTCCATACAGCATTAACATATGTTTATCAATATCATTTCAACATTTTTTACAGAATGATTTAATACATGGATTAAAAGTATGGATGAGTGGGGGTAGGTTACCCTGGTAACAAACCATTTAATGTCTATTTTATAATATTTAAGACAAAATATTAATAATTGTGATTTAAAACTTAAATATTCCCTATTTTTTGCTTGCCAAGTTGTTCTTTTTATATTTTAAGATATATGTATATGCGATTACTCCTTTTTTAATTATTAACATACTGTTTTCCTGGAAATATTATGATAAATTATCAGCCTCGGGATTTTAACATTTCTGTCCAAGAAAAAATCTAAAAATCCAATGAAAATAGCTTTAGTTCTTAACAAATGTGTATTGTAACATATTAAATTGCCCGTATCTATACTAATTATTTATGGCGACTTTTCCAAGTGGTATTTTCATGATAGTTAAATAGTAAAGTTGAATTGTTTTTATATTCTTTATCAACAAATAAGTAACTATATTACAGAACAATCATTCAATTTTAACAAAACAAATATTGATATAAATATTCCGAGTTTATTTTTATCCAATATACTATCATTGAATATGACTATATTTGTAATTTCAATTCATTTCATTATTGACTTAACATAATTTAAACAATGATGATGGACTTTTAAGTGGCATGAAAAATAGATTTTTTATGTATTTTTGTGACATGGCCTCGCTTCTATGCCGTTGTTTTAATGTCCGGACTTCCAAAACTGACCGACTTAATTTTATTTTAAACAACATATATAAAATGTGCATTTTTGTTGACTTAACCATTCCAGAAATAAAACATATGTTTCTTGTAAACAAATGTGCTGTTACATGATTGTATAAGCAACCGGTATATACATGTATTTTTCGCAGACGACATTATTTTTTTTCTATTTATTACTATTTTTAGACATTTAAACATTCTTCTAGCCTGAAATATGGATTCCACGTTCTTATTAATTTGTAATACCATATAAAAAATAGTACACTTCTAATATTTTAATTTATACTTCTTTGCTTATTTCAAAATTCAAATGTGTCAACAGAATTGGATGTAGATATATGACTTTTTATCAAATCGACTACTGTAGGTATTGTATTTAATCAGTATTGAATATTCAAGCAGATGAAAAAAAAATCAATTTGGGTGACATCTTTTAACAGTATTGTTCTTAATTTAACCATTTATACCTACATTGAATGTTATAATATTTCTTGTTTTCACGGGCCATTAACCGAGGCTTTGCTATTGCGACACTTAACTATGCACAGGCTATAGGAGGTTTTTATTAAATTCAACGGGGATTTTTTTTGTATTCTTAAAAATGGGCGGGGATGAACTGGATTGTGGTATTAAAATTAAATTTTAGGATTGAATCTTCATCTATACATTTTTAAATAACATTTCTATAACTTCAGTATTAAAAGTAAACAGGGTTTAAATTAAGTAAATATGACATAACGTTAAAACATGATCTAAAACTTGATTTATCATAACTGCACTATAGTTTAATTTAAAAAAAAAGAAACTCCGTCATCTAAATTTTAGAAGCGAAGATACGTTTTCTTTCGAATTCATTTCATATTGAGTAGTTAACAAAATCGGTTTTCAGTTTATGAAAAACTGTACAATTTTCAATTCAGTTGATATGAAATAGGTTTTTTTCCTTTTTGAATGATATTAGGTTAAAGCAGGGATGTCTCAGTGCAAGGGTTATAAAGAATTTAATATGTAACATTTATTTGTATAACTCGTGTGCGCCACATGGAATAATGTTCTTATATGTACTGTCTACGCATCATTGCATTTCACTATCTGTAATCTGTGCTCTGATTAAAATGTAGCCTGTGATAAAATAGATGAGGCCCTTTCGTTTGAATATTTTGTGAGCTGTCACATCAAAAGGGCCCCAGCTTTTTTTCTATTTCAACATCATTTTATAAACATTGTTTTTTTAATTTTGAAAATTTATTGCACTATGCTTGAACTTTTGTTGTCCCTCTTTGTATTAACAATTTGATAGTGACGCCTGAACATTTGATGTAATTTGTTTTTTTATACGTTTTTTTATATTACTTAAAAGAGCGGAGATCATTTACATCAACAAAGCTCCATTTTTATCTTTAATTTTGGGGCCTTTTTGATGTGACAACGCCCAGATATTTTGTTCAATCATTCCATGGTAACGTATTCTCCTATTTTCGTCAAACGAAAACTGTTATGTGAAAAATGTCACGTGTATATATGTGTCTTTGTTAAGCATCTAACAATGATTGTATAGTTTGTTCACAGTGCTATGTGTACGTGTAAATGTTGTTAACAATTTGATCTATATTTATATAAACGAGGATAAAATCCTCTCAAATGCAAACTGTGTCTTACTTCTTCTTTACTACATCTGCCCAATTTTTATATCCCGGAAAGAAGCTTCTATTCAACATACTATAAAAATATATAAACATTGAAATAGATTTAAATGCTTCATTACATTAGATGATATTTGACTTTTGAATGGAAACTTATTGAATTTGAAAAGTGGCAAGGCCCTTGGAACTATTATGAAAATTTCCAATTTTATCCGTATTTATACTTGTATTTGCTCTTGTAATACCTTTAACCAAATAGAAAAAAATAATTTTGTTTCATGCAGGAGATGTAGCAGTACTAATATTTAATAACATATAAGATATATTATGCTCATCTTTGGGTAATATACAGTCACAATACTGCAGGGTTCTTTTTAATCTAGGAAATATTTACTGAATATGTCTAATTTGAATGAAAAAAATGCCGGTAAGCTGCAGTCCCAATAACTGGTCAAGTTTATTTGATAGTTTCTTTAAAAAAATACGCCACTATGTATTTGTACTGAGTTTATCTATAATATATAAAGTTTAAAACAAATATTCTATTTGTGCACTCAAAATATGTTTATTTTAAAATTTAAAAGAGACTGTATGACAGTTATCAGTATTTTCATATATCAAACTTTAGTATAAAATTATCAAAATAGAAAATAGATAAATGCCACTAATTGATGAAAGAATCGCTTCCAAATTACGTGTACATCACGTGTTATTTTTTTAGAAAGTAGACTACTAGTTACATTGTTTTTATTAGTAATTGATAATTATGTATTAAAACTAGGAGATCATAATATAAGTAAATAAGTTATCACTTCAATACATTGCAGTGAATCCCCCAATAAATGTGTGGTACATAGTTTAAATTTTGAAATATCAAAACTGTTAGTTAACAGTACCCGATTCCTACAATATTCAACGGCCACTGATGTTATGAAGTTCAGCTTCTTTCCTCGTTGTATTCCTCTGTGGAACAACCTGCCAGCACCTGTTGCTGAGGCTCAATTCTTTGGCATCCTTCAAGAATGAGCTGTCTAAACTAACCTTCTAAAGGGGACTTAAATGCACAGTTACGAAGTACTGCCAAATGAAGGGCTTGAGATATGCCTGCATGGTCTCTAACCTGGGCACCGTCACGGAAACTGGATTGGTCTTGCCTAGATGGTTGAAAAGTAACTGTGTACAATTTTTTGTGTTACTTCTTTTCTTTTTTAATTTCTATGTAGCAAAAACCGTGTCCGTGTCCTTTTTCTTTCTATCCTATTTTTATTTTTCTTTATTCTTTTTCTTGCGTTCCGTTAAAGAAATGTCAAGTTTGACAGTTTAACGTACAGATGTAGATAGATAGTTAAGATATCCCAGTATTAATACAGTAATATCAAAGTTCTGTCATAGGTTGAGACAAATTGTTCACTGTGACAAAAAAGTGACTACTTTCGGTAGACCTCAAAGGCCCATTATGCCCCAGAAATTATATCTTTTTTTTTTCAAAATATTTTTATTTTTTGGTATTCGTATATAGTTTCCAACAAGTTACTAATTTGCCAGTTACCTTAACTGTCATCTTTTTCTGTTGCTTTTTGGCAATAAGTACATTAACAGTGATTTTGTATTCAAGTCAAAGTACTGTTTTGTTTACATTTTGCTGACACATTATTACAATTAATCTTAACATTATAAAACTGATGTTTGACATTTCTAAAGAAGTAGTATTATTTCATTTCTGAGGCACAATGTTCCTTTAAAGAAACTCCACTGGGATCAATAAGTCTTAAAAATAAAATTTATAATTCTGACATAGATCAATTGAAGCGCTCAAAATGGATCAATCTGCAAAGGGTAGTGAAGAAATAAGCTTATAATTAAATTGGCAATCGAATTTTTGAGTGATTCTAAGCCAGATTTGAGTGAAAAGCATTGAAACGTTTTTATTTTTCGTTCATTTTGCAAAATGAGTATTGAAAAACGGGATGAAAATTTTTACACAGTTTATTGATCCAGACTTCCATCAAATGGTATACTAATCTTAGAACAAATATTTCTAGTACCGGTCATAAAAAAAAATATCTGAGGAGTCTTTCCAAGAATAGAAAGGTTGATCGGACTGTATACAGATGTATCAAACCATGTAGCAGATGTACCAAACCGTGTTACCAGCATTGTGACAGCTAGTACTGTTGATACATGAAACGTTTTTATTTTTTCATGTAAAAAATTGAAATTTGATACACAAGCTGTTATTCACCATAACAACAGGTTTTATTATTCCGTTTTTGATCTATATCTGAGGTATTTGGGTAATAATAGAAAAAGGAAAAAGATTTATTGCGACAATGTATTATTCATAAGGTTATACTTACGTTGAAAGAACACTTTAAGGTTCAAAAGATACATATCTAATACCAGGACGAAATCACATCTTCGGGGTAAACAAAAAATATACAATCAAGTACTTTCCGTTTACAAAAACAAAGAAATACAATTTGTGTAAGTTTCATCAAAAATACTGACGACCTGAGATTTCTTGTACAGCTTCCGTGAACATTCATAATTTTACTTCCCGACATAAATATATCTGCAATATTGGTATAAAATGTACCCCCCCCCCCCCCCCCCCCACAAAAAAAAAAAAGATCGAAATGTGTCGTAAGCGATCAAAGGGAGGTTACAATTAATTCCGTATTGAATAAAAATAGAGGTTTACGCAATGGGAGGTAACCTTTAACGCTGCGTCCGATATCATAGGTGATTTATCGTGTTTCTTTACATTTATACCAAGCGAATATGTAAATCAAATGAACTTAAAATACTCTTATCATTAAATGACTCATCCGTAAACGGTTATTTAAATTAGATATTCAGTTACATGAAATATTTGATACGGTGTACCGCTTTAGATATTTTATTTATAAATGTAATATCAGTATAATAAACGATGCGGATTGAATCGGGCCTTTTCCCCATCAACGAAATGTCTACGTTAAAAACGAAACATTTTTTTTTATAAAGTTAATCAATAAACTAGATAGTATGCATACTGTCATGTTGTTTTTTTCTTGTGAAAATATTGGCAACCTATTAATTCTAAACAGTTGGACTTTTTGATAATAGTGGACGTTATAGAAGAGTTTGATTATTCGAATGGTATCAAAGTAAAAATAAGCACAGGTTGCATTATACATATACACCAGTGTCAATATATCGTCGCCTTAGTGCAGTAACGGGTTAAGTCCTAATTTTAATGAGTTATTGCACTAAAGGGACGATATACACCAGTGTATATAAACTAAATTTACTGCTGGAACGCTTAAACAAATGACTATAAACGTATAAACGTAATTTTACTTCACATTATTCAAATGGTGACAATTTTTCTCACAATATAAAATACATGCATGCACTTCAATAGAATACAAATTATGTACACGCCCTGAAGATTCATTCATAGGTAGATATATATACTTTAATTTCAACTATTACTCGCTTTGTTTTGACGACCACATTCATTATACGTCTACGACTAAATGATGCGTCCAAATTACACCACTCCGTCTTGTAAGAAAATTTCTTTTTAAACTAATGGTTAATGTTTTTAATGTTTTAATGTTGTGTTTTTCTTTGTTTTTGGTTTGATAGATTGGACGTGTTTTTTTAACAGATTTTCACTCCTAGTTGAATAATCATCAATTGATCCCCGGGGACATACGTTCTGAATATTCACGGCGTATTAAGCGATTGTTTTACTGATAAACGTGTTTATAAAGTAACAAAATACATACACTTCAGACAGGCTGTGTGTTTTCTATAATTTAACTTAAAATAATCAGCATGAGTTCGTAAGAAACATATGTTCAGACAAAAAGTCAAAATTCTGTCAACGGATAACTTACTTATTTATAGTTATTTTTTCCATATATTTTAAAAATTAAGAAAATAAAAGAAATAAAAATATCAACGCAATTAAACAGTTAAAGAGAAATCACAAAAAGACGACAACAACAACAACAACAACACGACATCAACAACAAATAAAAATAATAATAATATTAATAATAATAATAATAATAAAAATAATGATCATCATCATCATTATCATCATCATCATCATCATCATCATCATCATCATCATCATCATCATCATCATCATCACCATCATCATCATCATCATCATCATCATCATCATCATCATCATCATCATCATCATCATCATCATCATCATCATCATCATCATCATCATCATCATCATCATCATCATCATCATCATCATCATCATCATCATCACAATAATAATAATAATAATAATAATAATAATAATAATAATAATAATAATCATCATCATCATCATATTCATCATATTCATCATCATCACAATAATAATAATGATAATAATAAGACATGGACTCTATCTTCCGTCCCTATAAAAAGTTATTATAATTATACATTAAATTGATTCTAAATAAACTACAGTATAGTTCGGTCATAAATGTGTATGTATAAATACAGATTTATTTAATCGATTAACGGAATATGTCTGATTTATTATATTTCACATAAATGTCAAAAAATTAATTAAATACTTCTGAAATGGTTCAGATTAATTTTCAAATCAATCAAATTTATAATGCACAGTAATTTATTTAAATGCCATGGTAACGAATTGATATCACTTTATTGTCGCTAGCTAATGACGACAGCACGCCCAACTATCTTATTTTTGTCTCGTTGCACGGTTAGTTGCCATAGGTCACAATTGTATAGGCCAGTTTGTTGCCTTTACACAAGGCAGTAAAAGGTCTTTTTATACAGGCTAGTTACTGGTCTTTCTTTACAGGACTGTAACTGGTCTTTCTATACAAGGCAGTAACAGGTCTTTCTATACAGGACAGTAAGGACAGTAACTGGTCTTACTATACAGGACAGTAACCGGTCTTTCAATACAGGACAGATACTGTTCTTTCTTTATAGGACTGTAACTGGTCTTTCTATACAGAGCAGAAACTGGTTTTTC